AGAGGTTTGATAACTTGCCCGAGATGGGGTGGCTGGAAGGTGGCCGAGGCCAGGTTTAAGGGCAGGCAGCTGGCTGTCATCCACCCTGCTCACCGTAGCCTCACCAGACCACTAGACTCCCCTCTGTAAAGGAGGGACCCCGGGGGCTGTTCTGGATGGCCGGGGGCAGCTGGAGACCTGTCTTGCAGCCACGCCTGAATACTACTTTGCAGAACACTGGGGAACCTCGGTTGTCTGTGTCGACGCTGCCTGATACGACAGCCATGAGCCACACAGAGTTACCGAGCAATTAAAGTGTGGGTGGTCCAAATGGGAAAACACACACCAGGTTTTGAAGACTTAGTATGAAAAGGGATTTTAAATATCTCATTAATAATTTTTATATTGATTACATGTATAAAAGATAATATTTGAGTATATTGGGTTAAATACTACATATCACTAAGAGGAAATGTACCTTATTTTTACTCTTTAAATTTAGTTACTAGAACATGTAAAATTGCATCTGTGGCTCGAATTGTGCTGCTGTTGAATGACACTGGACTAAAGGAAGAATGGGGGTGTGCGGTGGGGCGATGGAGCTGGAGGACAAGACTCTCCCAAACCACCTCTGGATGCCACACGGGAGGCCACTCTGGTGTCGCTGAAGGCCCGCTGAGGGGAGAGTTTAGGATACACTCCCAAAGGGGCAGGGCTTGGGGGAAGGGGCTTGGAGGAGAAGGGGCTGGAGCTGCTAAACCTAGAGCAGAGCTTTAGGGGTTCCCTACCCTTGCCGTGCCAGGACCTCGAGGAGACTCACCGCCACGTGCCTGCTGTGCCCAAATGTGACACAGATCCCCTCAATACGGGTCTGCTGTTGGGAACCACCTGTGGTACATGGTAAGTGCTATACAGGTATGAACTATTGTCATTATCATTTTTATTATTTTGCGCCCCATTTTGTCATGGAAGCAACAGGGTCATTGGCCTTCAGAGGCCCATCTAGTCCTGGGTTGGTTGACATCTCAGCATCAACCAGGGTGGTCAGAGACCTCCCCAAGCATTCCAGATTCCAAAAAAACCCCTGAGACCTTTGACGGACCCTGCAGCGTAGAGAGGGAGGCAGTCTCACTAAGAACTAAGATTTAATTTCTTGCCAACTGGTAAGTGGAAACTTGGGGTTGGATCTAACTTGATTTTGAAAAATAATGTGCCACTTCTTGCTGCTATTACGTTCCAGTAAAATTCATGTCCATGACTATGGCTTTCGAGGCAAGATTTTTGAGGCAAGAAAGTGACTTCTGCTCTTTCAGGAGATGTTAAAATAGAGGTATCTTTTTTGATGAATGGCCATTACAACCGGACATGAAGAAATTCTTCAGTGGAAATATTCTCCGAATGTAATTGCCCATTATGTCAGCATATTGAAATATTATAAAAATGATTTTAGAACCTGTAATTTTTTGAGATGCTTGAAGACTTCTGGGTGAATTTTGAATATCTTGTTGCTCCTTAAATAGAGGTTCTCCAGTTGTAGGCAGTTATGAAAATCAGACAACCCAATTTGCAATATCCCATTGAATGACAGATCCAAACTCTGCAAAGACTTCAGTTTCCATAGTCCTGTTAAAATTAAAAAGTAAATTAAAATCTAAACTGGTGATATTTACTGCATCATTTTTTGCCATGGTGAACAACTGGAGACGACATTAAACGTTCTCAATTGAGAAACTATTAAACAAAGTATGTTATATTAGTGCTATGAAATAATACGTAGTCTCAAACGAGAACGGGGTGGATCGACATGTGAACTGATTGAACATGAAGGAAAAAGTTAAATGCGGAACAGTACAGAGTAAAATTCCAATGTTATTCAAAAAAAAAGAGCCAGACGCAAACAAATACGTATATTTTGATTGAGCAGAAAAAAGACCTGAAAGGAGACGAAATAAACTATTAATAGTAGTTATACTTAGGAGTAGGATGATTGAGGGAAATGAGGGAGGATAAGGAGGGAAATTTCCTTTTTATTGTATACACTTTTGAATTCTCTTTTTCAATGAGCATGTGCCACTTTTAAAATAAGAGCATCAATTAAAAATCTAACCTTGGAGGGAGGAGCGGGGAAAAGGGCAACATACGTAACCTAAATATCTGTACCGCCATAATATGCTGAAATAAAAAAAAAATCTAACCTTGATTGAAAGAGGTGGAAAATAAATATTTGTTTAATTGTTAAATCATCTTGCTATGGCAGTAGAGGAAAAAGTTATTTTGATGCTTTATTTACGTGAATGAATTCTTCCAGTTTTAAGATTTTCTTGTTCTATGTTGTAGCCCTGTCCCTTTTATAGAACTACTTGTTGTTGATATTATGATTATTTTCTAGGCGTTCTTATACTTTTCAAAGGTAACAAGTGATAGCTAGATTTTGTTTTCTAGCAACATAATCAAATTGAATTTTGGTCTCTGCCTTTGTATTCCATCTGATTCCAGAGCGTAACCAGGAGTTCCATTTGGCACCGAAAACAAATAAAGGTTGACAATAAGGTGCCAGTTGCAGTGGCCTCTCAGATTTGATGTCCCATGTGCGTCTTGCAAGCAAGAGCCTGTATTTTACATTTCCTTCTGCTCTGTTCTCGCATGTGTCTTTAACCAACTATCACGTGACAGATCAGGCTGGTTCAGTTTCAGGAGGGTTTATTCCTTGTCTGCTTTCTGCAGGGTACTTATTGTAAAGCTGATCATGCAGAGAGAGGATGGCCTGATTGACATGGCTGCGCCGTCTGGGTTGCCGAATGTTCATTTTAGTTGTACAGACTAAGCAAGAGATCATCAAGGCAGCAAATCAATCAATGCGTCATGAGCGAGGCACTTGGTACTGGGGACAAGTATGGAAAGCATATGACCCTTACCCTTAAAGAGTCTAGTCTGGTCCAGTGATAAGACACACACAAGGA